AAAAAAAAATTTTTTTTTTTTTCCAAATTTTTTCCAACTTTCAGCAAAGAAAAGGACGACAAAGTGGTTTTTTTAATAAAATTCGAATTGCCTTTGCTTTATGATGAAAGAATTTTAATTTAGAATTATTGTATTTGCCACTGCAAATTTGCATTTTATTTGATTTTTTTTTGAATGATTTGATATTTTTATATTTGAATTTTCGGAAACGGGCTTTTTGTAAGTCTGTGTGTTGAAGTTAATTTCTTCGGTAATTTTTTTGTTCATAATGTATATTGATAAAACATTCATTTACCAGTGGAAATAACATCACCGTTGTACAATTTATTGGAATTAATACCGATGATAACAATCGAAGAGGTAATCGAATGGAAGGGCCATGCCTGGCATTTATTATAACGTTTTAAGATATCAAATTTGAGGGCTCGGTTGATGGCCTAGTTAATGCAATTTAACGTATTGACGCATATTTATATGTGCATGCAATTTCGTCAAACGAGCGTTGCACAAATAAATTGATAGTGCACGCGATATATATAGAATACAATAATTCACTTCCAAGTCTCGTTTAATTTTTGTTGAATTTATCGTAACGTAACGAGTTTGACATTAAACGGGAAGGAAATAGAAGATTAAAAAAGAGAAAGGTTCTATTAAAGGAAATATTATTTTATGTATTGCTGAGTATTCATGCTTGTGCGTACTATTACAAGTATATTAAAAGCCTAGGAAGGACTTAAATAAAATTGTACTACGAAGAAGAAAACGTGCCACACGTGAAATAATTTTTAATTGAAAATTAAAAGTAGAAAAATTGTGTAATGCTCTGAAAAAAATTATGTAATGAAATAATTAATATTAAAATAAGCGCCTGTGGTAAAAGAAATGTAAAAAATTAGTTTTTTTTTTTTTTTTTTAAATATTATTTTATGTTACTTCTGGTAACTATTTGTAATATACTCAATAAAACAGGCCGATAAAATGATGTCGAATAGCGACGAACAGCGTGCTAAAGAGTTGGCTGGTAGAATAATATTTGTCTACATTTTAATGTGAGTCTCTGGCGATTGGAAGCTTTACCATGTCGCCGCCTCGATATACTTAAATCGATTTAAGAGACGTCGGTGGCGAATCGGGCGATGGTTCTCCAATCGTTGGTCGATAATAATGTCCGGAAAAACGCCGAGGGCGATATAATAAATCGAAAATCCACTCGACGTGGCTACGCTCCTGCGCCGTCCCACGCACACAAACGCACTCTCAACGACGAGAACGTTTAACTGCATTCCAATAAATAACTTTTATGTGAATCGCGACCGTCGTCCCTCGCAAAGATTTAAGAACGGCGCGGTAGCTTAAGGAGACGAGTTCCGGGGTGACTCGCTCCGCGAACTCCCTAATTTCTATTTCCGGCATGACGTCACGGTTCCTCTCACCATCGCGAGCATCATCCCCCCTCCCTCCCCCCCGAGCGTCGCGGAAGTCGTTACGTGGTTGTACGAGGGTGACTTTTGTGTTCCGTGACGATGACCATGTTTTTTTCCTTCGGATCGTGTTGGTTTTGGCTCGTGGGGGGGGGGGGGTGACGTCCCACGCCATTAACGCATCGACGATTAATAGCTTGATATAATTTTTATGGGGACGAGAACACGTCAAACGTGTCTCTTCGCGTCGAAGGACGATTGCGATCTTTCGTAAATTTTAGATTAATCCTCCGAAGCAGAGGAGGATTACAGCGGGTACCTTGTTATTTTTTTTTTTATATAAAGTTTTATGTAACAAAAGTATTTCCTCAAAAAATGCTTTTTTCGTCAATTCATTTACCGGGTTTACCGGGTTCTCGCGGTATGGTCGAAATGAAAACTTGGCTGTAGTGTAAATAACGCCGCGAGGAGGATTGATTGAAGGGAGCGATGGTCAGTTTCGTTTTAGTTTCGTGAATGATGGTTAGATTTCGATAAACGAATCGCGAACGGTCGTTTGTCACTTGGAACCAGTTATTTGGGGAGGAATGTCGCGAATACCTATCTCTTTTCATGAAGTTATCAATCGTGCAATACACGAGAAAAACACTAACGATATTGTGCATAAAATCAAGATTTTATCACCACTGTAATGTTAATCGCGTTAAAGTGTTAATCTCTCTATCAAGCATTTTTAACGAAAAAAAAAAGTCAAATGAAAAAATAATTTAATTTCTTGCTTAAGGCTAAATTCAATTTTAGCCTCTAATGATAGAAATTCTTGTTATTTAATTTAGAAAAATTCAGGAGTTCAACATAATTAAAATTCTATTTGGCCTATATAAAAGATGGAAAATTAAAATTGGAATTATGGGGAAATTATGGCGTACGATTAAATATCTCTTTTTATTTGGATTTGTAACAAAGGGGTTATTCCGGGGGTTGAATGCTTGTGCTGCTATTTGACTTTTAATTTCTAAATTTGCGAGAGAATCGAAAAAGGTTTGGTTTTCGCGGTTACGAACGACGCGCGATCCTACCACCCGATTAATTATTCGTATTTCGTAATTTGATATTCCGCGCGCGTGACCCAATATTCGTGCACAGCCGCGAAATAACGACCGAATGGTTTCCAAACGCCGCGAACAATAAACCGGATTAATGTCGCTCCATTCTTGCGGCAATTAATGTACTAGTTTTGTCGCGGATATAATGCAGAGGTGTCGGTAATGCAGAAACAATTAGTTAAGGGGGCCGATCGTACGGCCGATCGAATTTTATATCTTTGTCGCAATCACGGGGGGGGATAGAAATCAATGGGCGACGGCAATAGCCACAACAATATCGCAGTTAATTGATTAACCGCGAGGTCGAATTACCGAGGCAACGAACTCGGAAATTCTTTATCTCTCTTTAATCGAAACTTTTGTTTGGCTGCGCAATTACGAGATATAGCGAAATGGAAACTCTTTCCATGTGTGTGTTGACTTTGCCTCCGATCATCGATTGTTATTTGAAACGTTTATGTAGTCTGTTTGTATAGTTTAAACGCGTTTGCGTTGTTTCTCGGATAGGAATTTTTAAAAAATTAAAACAGTCCCTAATTATTAATTAATTAATAAGTTCCTTTTAGCTTTTTAGTTTTAATATAAGGAAAGAGAAAATTGAAGAAATAATTCCCTTGCATTCCCTTGCGTTTTATTAGTTTTAAAATTCGACTTAATTTTTTAGCTTTATTTTTATACTCATTATTAATTCTGGATTTTATTTATCCTCTTTTTCAGGCGATCTCCAATAGCGTATAAAGGATCGATACATTCTGTATTTGTGGCAAACGTTGGCGATTTTAGGTAAGTGATAAAATTGTTATACAATTATAATGTATCTATAAATATAAAGAGAAAGTACGGAATATTTGGCATCTCTTTAAAAATTTAAAGAGAAAATGCAATATATATCTCCTGACTACTGTTTCTTTATTTAAACAAGCGGTTCAGTTTAATACTGAGATGAAGATAATTATTTTAACGGGCAAAAAGATTAGACATATTAAAGAAATTAATCATAAATAATTTTTTGCTTAATTTGTTATTCGTCAAAAAAAAAAACGGCCTTCTTTCCCCGCTTTTATTCCCCCTCGACCCCCTCATTATTGTTTTCCGGCTGTGGACATGATGGAGGAAAAGCAGACATCCATTCGTAAAGAGCGGACGAAACATCTGGCCGAGGAAATTTAATTTCTAAGCTTTAGCTCTCTGCACTCTCGTTTAGCGCTAATTCCTCGCCCTTTGTAACTCGATAAAAATCGACAGCCCCCTGTCACGCCTCCTCTTAGTCTTTGTATCAAAGAGCAAAAAAAAAAATGAAGGCGAAAAGGCAACGATAACGTTCGCCAGACCCTTTTCCACGCTGATTGGAAATGTTTGTCTCCGGATCGATCTATGATCCAGGTCTGCTCAGCATCCTCCTTCCACCATTCACTGCCTTCAGCCACCGGAATTTTCCCCGTACTACGAAAAGCTCTTTCCCGCTGAGAATGCTTCGATCGGTCGTAGGAGCAGCTCGCCAACTCTTTCCCTGTCTTTCTCCCCTTCGTTTATTGGCGGTTTCTGCTGAAAGCTCGAATCGAAAGTGCAAAAAGAAGAGGTGAGGAGGGGGCGGAGAGGAGGGTGGCGGGCGGGGGAAGAGCAGAAAGATTACGGATGTTTGAACTTATTTGTGTGTAAGGTTCGAGCGAGGAGTGGGAGGGGGAGCTGCGGGCGCGCCATCAATTGAAATGACTCGTCAACGGCGTTTTTTTCGCTCGGACATTGTCTTTGAATTTCTTTGCTCCTTAAGTTTGCTACGAGCTACGGATTCTCCTGGACCTTTCCTTCTGGACCTCGAGATGGTGTGTGCGATTTACTGGGTTAGCTACTCGAGAAAATTTTTCTCTTCTGTTTTACGTACGAAAGAAGGTGGAAACGCGTGATCAGACATTCGATATATAAATAGATTAATTTGAACTAATTCTAATGAAATTAATACGTTGAATTTTTTTAACATCTACATCTACATTTGCATACGACTACATTAAGTAGCATTTTTTTTTTTGAGATTGTGGACAATTGTATACCGTAAAACGTTCCTCAAAGATGAGAGCAAACAAAAAATAGCGACCTGCGACTTCCAACGTCCTTTTCCGGCAAAGTTGGAAGACGCGAGACATCGAATAGGACGAACCGTCCGGAAGAGTGCATTCGTTTTCACGCGGGGATAAGAAACGCTAGAATTTTCATCAAAAGCGCTGTTTGCAAATAGCGAATAGATATAAAAAGCGAAGCGGAGAAAGAGAGAGAGAGAGAGAGAGAGA